AAGTATGGTGAAAGAATACAACCCTGTTGCACACATTTCTTAATTTTAAACCATTCAGTGTTCCCATGTTCTGTTTAAACAACTGCCTCTTGGTCCAGGTACAGATTCCTCATGAGCACAATTAAGAGTTCTGGAATACTCATACTTCACAATGTTGTCCATAGCTTGTCATGAAAGCATCCACACAATCAAAAGCCTTTGTGTAGTTGGCAAAGCACAGGTAAACACCTTTCTGATATTTTCTGCTTTCAGCCAAGATCCACCAGACATCAGCAATGATATCCATTATTCCACAGCCTCTTCTGAATCTGGCTTGAACCTCTGGGAGTTCTCTGTCAATGTATGCTTGCAGTCATTTCTGTATTACCTTCAGTAAAACTTTACTCACATGTGATATCAAAGAGATTGTCTGATGATTTCCACATTCCGTTGGGTCACCTCTCTTTGGAATGGGCACAAACAGGGTCTCTCTCAATCAGTCAGCCAGATAGTTGGCATACCAAATTTCTTGGCATATTTGAGTGAGTGCCTCCTGTACCACCTCACTGTCTTGAAAGATTTCAATTTTGATTCCAGCAATTCCTGGTGCCTTGTTCTTTGCCAATTCCTTCAATGCACCTTGGACTTCCTCTTTCAGTATCATTGGCTCTTGATCATATGCTACCTCATGAAATGGTTGAACAGCAACCATTTCCTTTTGGTATAGTGACTCTGTATATTCCTTCCATCTTTTTTTGATGCTTTCTGCATCATTCAATAATTTGCCTAGAGGATCTTTCAATAATGTAAGTCGAGGCTTGAATTTTTTTCTTCAGTTCCCCCATCTTGAGAAATGCTGAGTGTGTTCTTCCTTTATTATTTTCTTTGACTCCAGATCTTTGCACATTTTGTTGTAATATTTGGCTTAATCTTCTTGAGCTGATCTTCAAAATTTTCTGTTCAGCTCTTAGATCTCCTCATTTCCTCCATTTGCTTTAGCATCTCTATGCTAGAAAGCAAGTTTCAGTGTGTCTTCTGACATCCATTTTGACCTTTTTCTTCTTTCTTATCTTCTTAATGACTTTTAGCTTTCTTCCTGTATGATGTTCTTGATGTCATC